GTATCACCTTGCTACCAAAATCAAACAAAGACACATCAAAGAAAGAAAACCTCCTTGATAAACACAGATGCAAAAATCCTTTTTTTCCTTCTCTTTTTGTTTTTCTTTTTGGTACTGGGAATTAACCCAGGGGTCCTTTACCACTGCGCTATATCCCATCTTTTTCTGTTTTTTATTTTGAGACAGGGTGTCACTAAGTTGCTTAGGAGTAAATTGCTGAGGCTGGCCTTGAACTTGTGATCCTCCTGCCTCAGCCTCCCAAGTTGCTGAGATTACAGGTGTGTGCCCAACGCTTGGCAATGCAAAAATTTTTAATAAAATACTGGCAAGGGCTGGGGTTGTGGCTCAGTGGTAAAGCACTTGCCTAGCATGTGTGAGGCACTGGGTTTGATCCTCAGCACCATAAAATAAATAAATAAATAAATAAGCAAACAAACAAACAAATAAATAAAAGTATTCAAAATAAAAACAAAAAAACAAACAAACTGCCAAACCACATATAAAAACACATTACATGGGCTGGGGCTGGGGCTCAAGCAGTAGCGCGCTCGCCTGGCATGCGTGCGGCCCAGGTTCGATCCTCAGCACCACATACAAACAAAGATGTTATGTCTGCCAAAAACTAAAAAATAAATATTAAAATTCTCTCTCTCTCGATAAAAAAACCAACCAAACAAACAAACAAAACACATTACAAAGATAGTACACCATGATCAAGTGGATTCAATCCCAGGGATGCAAGGTTGGTTCAACATATGGAAATCAATAAATGTAATTCACTACATAAACAGACGTAAAAACAAGAATCTCAATAAATGCACAAAAAGCATTTGACAAAGTATAGCACCTATTCATGTTTAAAACACTAGAAAACATAGGAATAGAAGGAATAATATTGTAAAGGCTATATACAACAAACCCAAGGCCAATGTTATTCTGAATGGGGAAAAATGGAAAGCATTTCCTGTAAAAACAGGAACAAGACAGATGGCTACTTTCACCACTCCTATGCAACACAGTCCTTGAAATTCTAGCCAGAGCAATTAGGCAAGAAAAGGAAATTAAAGGGATACAAATAGGAAAAGAAGAATTTGAATTATCTGTTTGCCATTCTATATTTAGAAGACCCAAAAAACTCCACCAAAAGACTTCTAGAACTCATAAATGAATTCAGCAAAGTGGCAGGATGCAAAATCAACACCCATAAATGAACCGTGTTCTTATACTCCAATGATGAATCTGCTGAAAAAGAAATCAGAAAAACTATCCATTCACAATAGCCTCAAAAAAGAAAATGAAATACATGGAAACCAATTTAACAAAAAAGATGAAGGATCTCTATAATGAAAACTATAGAGCACTAGATAAAGAAATTAAAGATCTTAGAAGATAGAAAGACACCCCCGCAATGTTCTTGGATAGGCAGAATTAATATTGTCAAAATGGCCATACTATCAAAAGTGCTATACACATTTAATGCAATTCCCATCAAAATTCCAATAACATTCTTCATAGAAACAGAAAAATAAGTCATAAAATTCATTTGTAAAAATAAGAGACCCAGAAGAGCCAAAGAAATTCTTAGCAAGAAAAGTGAAGCAGGAGGCGTCACAATCCTGGACCTCAAATTATACTACAGAGCTATAGTAACAAAAACAGCATGGTACTGGCACCAAAACAGGCATGAAGACAAATGGAATAGAACAAAAGACAGAGACAAACCCACATAAACACAGGTATCTCATACTTGTCAAAGGTGCCAAAAAACATACACTGGAGAAAACACCCTTTTTAACAAATGGTGATGGGAAAACTGGAAATATGCAAAATACAATTAAACCCTTATATCTTACCCTGCACAAAACTCCACTCCCAAGTGGATAAAAATCCTAGGAATTAGACCCAAAACCCTGCACCTGCTAGAAGAAAATGTAGGCCCAACACTCCAACATATCAGCTCAGGTATTGATTTCTTTAACAAGATTCCTATAGTGTAAGAAATAAAAGAAAAGATCAATAAATGGGATGGAATCAAATTAAAAAGCTTCTTCACAGCAAAAGGAACAATCAAGAACACGAGGACAGCTGGGTGTGATGGCCCATTCCTGTGATCCCAGCAGCTCAGGAGGCTGAAGCAGAAGTATCACAAGTTCAAAGCCAACCTCAGCAACTTACTGAGGCCCTAAGCAACTCAGTAAGACCCTGTGTCTAAATAAAATACAAAAAATGGGCTGAGGGTGTGGCTCAGTGGTTAAGTGCCTCTGAGTTCAATACCCAGTATCCCCGCTCCCCCACAAAAAAAGAACATGAGGAGAGAGCCTACAGAATGGGAGAAAATCTTTGCCACCTGCTCCTCAAGGCTTTAATATCTAGGATATACAAAGAACTCAAAGAACTTAACACCAAAAAAAAAAAATCAATAAATGGGCAAAGGAACTAAACCCTTCTCAAAAGAAGAAATGTGAATGGTCAACAAATACATGAAAAAATATTCACTCTAGCAATTAGAGAAATGCAAATTAAAACTACACTGAGATTTCATCTCACTCCAGTCAGAATGGCAATTATCAAGAATACAAATAACAATAAGTGTTGACAAGGATGTAGGGAAAAAAGTACATTCATACATTGTTGGTGGGACTGTAAATTGGTGCAACCACTCTAGAAAGCAGTATGGAGATTCCTCAAAAAACTAGGAATGAAACTACCATTTGACCCAGTTATCCCACTCCTCAGTTTACATCCAAGGGATTTAAAATCAGCATTCTATAATTGCACAGCCACATCAATGTTTCTAGCAGCACAATTCACAATACCTAAGCTATAGAGCCAATCTAGGTACCCTTCAAAAGATATATGAATAAAGAAAATGTGATATATATATATATATATATAAACACACATTGCAGTACTACTCAGCCACAAAGAAGAATGAAAGTATGACATTTGCCAGTAAATGGATGGATCTGGAAACCTGGAAACTATCATACTAAGTGAAACAAACCAGTCCCAAAGGCCAATGGTCAAATGCTTTTTCTGATATGTGGAAGCTAATGCATAATAAATGGGGGGGTGTTTAAAAATGAATAGAAGTTCAGTAGAGTAGACAAAGGGGAATGAAGGGAAAGGGGGAAGGATGGGAAAAGGAAAAACAGTAGAATGAATCTGACATATGTACATACATGAATATACCACAGTGAATCTCACAATTGTGTACATTCACAATAAATTAATTGAAAAAAAACTATGGGTAAATGACAGAAAGATTAGCAGAGAGAAGGGAAGAGGGAGTTGGAAAAGGAAGAGAAAGGGGAGGTACTAGGGACTGAATTAGAAAAAGATATAGTCCATGCTTTTATAATTCTGTCAAAATGGATTCTCCTGCCATGTATAACTAAAAAGAACTCCCCGCCAAAATTTAGCCATTTCAAATTAGAGGAGAGGGAAAGGCTTTCAAAAGATACCATAAAAAGCCAGGAGTAGTGGCACACATCTACAATCCCAGCAACTGGGGAGGCTGAGGCAGGAGGATTGCACCTCTGAGCCAGCCTCTGCAACTAAGTGAGGCCCTAAGCATCTCAGCAAGACTCTGTCTCAAAAAAAAAAAAATGTCTGGAGATGTACCTTAGTAGTAAAGGGACCCTGGGTTCAATCTCTAGTACTGAAAAGTTAAAAATAAAAAATAAAAAGGAAGGTGGAGGGGAACATATATCTTTTTGAAGGATATAAAGAACTATTAACTAGAGGAAAACCTGTGGATGTAGCTGAGTGATAGAGCTCCCCTGGGTTCAAATAAAAAAATATTTTTTTTTTTAGTACTGGAGAGTATAGTACCAAAGAGTGATAGGAATACTGTACCACTGAGCTATACCCCCACCCTTCTTTATTTTTATTTTGAGATACAGTATCACTAAATTGCTGAAGCTAGCCTCAGCCTTGCAATCCTCCTGCCTCAGTTTCCCCAGCTGCTGGGATTACAGGCATGCACCACCATACCTGGCCATTTCTCTTAAAATTTTTTACTGAGCTAGCAAATATATCACTCTCCCTAGTACTCTACAAGCCAGAAAGTTTTTAACTTGGCTTTTTCGGTATGAATGATGTATTTGTGTGTGTGTGTGTGTGTGTGTGTGTGTGTGTGTGTGTGTGGTGCTGGGGATTGAACCCAGGGCCTTGTGCATGAGAAGCAAGCACTCTACCAACTGAATGTCCCGAATAATGTATTTTTGCTTAACATTAAATTATAATTGCCTAGAAGGACAGAGCAGAAAAACAAATATCTTTCATATAGCAAACTCCTTGAACTATCTCCTAGCCTCACTAGCAATTTTCCCAAGTACTGAAATCAGAAACTCACTTCTGTCATCCTTAGAGCAAATACAGGCTTCAGACAACACTGTTTCCTTATCTTAATAATTAATGTACACCAAAGAAATGAATTTAATAATTCATCTTAATCTGGATATGGTATCATATGCCTGTAATCCCAGCACCTCAGGAGGCTAAGGCAGAAAGATCATAAATTCAAGTACCCTCTGGGCAACTTAGCAAGACATGGTCTCAAAACAAAAAGGGCTGGGGAAGTAGCCACATGCCTAGCATGCATGAAGCCCTAGGTTTAATCCCCAGAACTATAGGGGGAAAAAAGTTCATCTCTAAGAATTGAAAATGATAGCAAAGGGCTGGGATTGTGGCTCAGGGGTGGAATGCTTACCTAGCATGTGTGGGGCACTGGGTTCAATTCTCAACACCACACATAAATAAAATGAATAAAATAAAGGTCCATAAACAACTAAAAAAAAAGTTAAAAAGAAAAAGAAAATGATGGCAAAGACAATTACCTGGAAAATAAGGGAGCTCTATTGACAGGCCTAAAGCATTTCAATTTATCATAGTGAGGAATTTATAAATAATTTGTAGATTTATTCCATAATTCTGAGACTACTTCTTTGTCATTTATTTTAAAGGCTAAGTCACAAATTCAAAGAGTGACTACTCACCTCTGGAGATTTCGGCGTATTCTTGAATACAGCATAGGAAATAAGTGAACTTGAACCTATAATACTGAGAGACCCAGGAGATGATCATTAAAACTGGTCCTTCACTTTTGCTATTGATTTTTTTTCTGATAAAATTGATGAAAAATAAACTGCATTTGTCTTTTTAAAAGTATAGAATGTTTCTCGAATTTACATGTCATCCTTGTTTAGGGGTTGTGCCAATCTTTTCTATCATTCCAATTTTTTTTTAATTGAACATGAACACATTACCTTTGTTTTACTAATTCATTTATTTTGTGTGGTATTGATGATCAAACCCAGTGCCACATGTGTGCAAGGCAAGTACACTACCACTGAGCCACAACCCCAGCCCCTCATTCCAATTTTTAATATGTGTGCTGACAAAGTGAGCACTTTGCTATTTATTGGTTTTGCAATCACTCCTATTGACCAGGTTGTCCACTCATTTCAGATGTTATCCCTCTATCTGCTTTTCTGTTGTTATTGTTATTGATGTTACATTTTATTAGTCAGAAAATATCAATGGAGTAAGTAAAGAATATAATTTTTCACTAACTAAAGAGCAAATCCCCAGGGAGAAAATGTAGAAACTGCAGAATGCTCCAGTTTTGCTTACACTAGTTTATATAGTCCTACTATGTGAGATTAAATAAACATACCTCAGAATTGCCATAATAAATTGTATCCATTGTATTGCAGAAAAAACCTAAATAGAAAAGAAAAAAATTAAGCCTTTTACATTTAATATTCAACCTAACTCCAATTTCACTGTTTATTAGCCACCTCCTCAACACAAATTCTTCTTCAAAGCCTAATCAAAACATACAAGTCTGAAAATGAATAAAAAAGTCTAAAGAGGGCTGGAGCTGGGGCTAAGTGGTAGAGCGCTCACCCAGCATCCTTGAGGCACTGACTGGGTTCAATTCTCAACACCACATGAAAAAATAAACAAAATAAAGTTTAAAAATAAACAAATAAAGATGTTGTGTCAATCTACAATGAAAAAAGATTTTTTAAAAAGACTGAAAAGGCTCTAGGAAGAAAGAATTGTTCCATTTTTCCTTATTTCTGCTTCTCTGGGAAAGAGTAAAATAAAATAAAAATACAGAAGTGAGTAGAAAATGACTAAATGAGCTGGGCGTGGTGGTGCTTGCCTGTAACCCCAGTGGCTCAGGAGGCTGAAACAGGAGGATCCCAAGTTCAAAGCCAGCCTCAGCAATGGTGAGGCTCTAAGCAACTCAGTGAGACCCTTTCTCTAAATACAAAAAAGGGCCAGGGATACAGCTCAGCGGTCATATGCCCCTGAGTTCAACCCCTGGTTCCAAAAAAAAAAAAAGACTGAATGAAAAATTGAGAGCTGGGATTGAGGCTCAGAGGCAGAGCGCTCGCCTAGCATGTATGAGGCACTGGGTTCAATCCTCAGCACCATATAAAAGTAAAACAAAGATTTTGTGTCCACCTATAACTAAAAAAATAAATATAAAAAAACTGAATGAGAAAACTAATAAAAGAAGAATGAGGGCTAAGGTTGTGGCTCAGCAGTAGAGTGCTTGCCTAATACACGTGAGGCCCTTGATTCCATGCTCAGCACCACATATAAATAAACAAAATAAAGGTATTGTGTTCACCTCTCACCTCTGTTAGGATGGCCGTAGGCCTGAGCCTAAGCAACTCCATTTTAAAAACTCCAGTTTGAAACCTGAAGTTTCACCAGGCACACCCAAAGAACCCTCCAATATGGCCTCAAACAAGTTACTTCCCTTCACCCTGATAAACAGATTGAAGCCCCTGGCAGGCTGTGCTTGCCTGATAAGAGGGAAAGGCAAGAAGATCAGGGTGGAATCAGATGTTTCTGACCCCAGGGTAAATGATATCACTGAGAAATCTGGTGGTAGCTGATAAGGACTGAAAGGGGGGTCAAAACCCCCCAAATTTAGTATAAATAATAAAACAAATAAACAGTAATTCAGCCAGCTGAAACAAGGATGCACTCAAGCTGGAGAGCCTGATGAGGACCTGACATCCCATCACTTGTCACCATTTCCTAAGCCTCTGCGTGATCCTCACCGCTCTCAAACTCTACCACCTCTCTGGACCTTGGTAAGTGCCACAACTTCTCCCTATGACCCTCTCCCTCAATTGATCAACCACTCCACGCCAGGAAAAGCCTACCTTGGTTCTGGACCTGGTGACCACAGTCTGAGTGAGTGTGCATCTGCTGGTCATAAAGCCTAAGGCTTAAGACTTTAGAACTTAGCACACAGAGGGAATGTCTGTCATTAGCCTATCAAGTGTGTTTGATTAAGTGTGTTTGCAGTGCTTAGAATTAATCTAGAATTGTTTGCTGTAAATTGATTATGTCTATTGCAGTGCCTAGCATTAAGGGATTGTCGTTTTCTTGATTAAGAACCTATAGAGTGAAATTGTATTGAGTAATTTGAGTGAATAAAGCATTGAAAGGGGCAGAAGCGCATGGACATTCTTTATTTCTCCCCTAGACCGCATAAGTTGTAATTTGCCCCCTCGTGACAACCTACAACTAAAAAAAAAAAAAAAATAAAAAAAAGAATAAAATAGAGAAGAGGTAGAAAAAGTTACATTTTAAAAGAGAAAGGACAGACCTTTAATAAAGAAAAAAAATAAAGTTCACTAAAAGAAAGAATAATAAATGACAGAGAAATGAAGAAAATGGAGACACTGTGAGTGAAAAATACAGAGCAGAAAGAAAAGGGAGGGGTCAAAAAAGACAAGAGGGGCAACTTCTGATCTTACCAAATCCCACTTGTCCTCCAGGGTGCTAACCTCCGGTAACAAGGCCATAAGGACTTTAGTCCCAGCTACTCTTATGCAGTGATCCTTCTCAGTCAGGTTGCAATTCCCAAAGAAATGAACAAAAGCCACAACCCTGACCCAGCCGGGCTCCTCCTTACCTAGTCATGCACTGTACCTTGAGGGCAGCCAGCAAGGTGACAACAAGTGGAGAAAAGTCAGCCTGAAAGGCCAAAAATAGAAAGAGCAGGTGACAAGGAAATAAAGTTTTAAGAAGCATAAAGAACTGTAGAAGGGGTAAGTGGTAGGAGTTATTATTTATTTTATTAAAAGAAGCAGAATGAATCATAGTGAAAAGATAAATAGAGCTGTAAGAAGGAAATTAAATAGGAAAAGAAAGAAAGAGTAGAAGGGAGGTCTGCTTAAAACTTGCCCACTTATAGACAAGTCTTTGTGAGAAAGAGAAATTGCATAAAGTTTTAGTAATACCTGTGTAAAGTTAGGAAGATAGGAGGTTATTAATGTTGTCATATTTGATACTAACATCTTAAATATACTAGACCCCAATTTCCACCAGAAATATAATTGTATTATTACTCTATTCATTGAATGTACTTCATTGACGTTTAAAATATTAATGTCCTACAAAGCAATGTCACAGAAGATACAAAGATAAACAAGAGAAAGACCTAGCCTTCTAGGAGCTTATGATACACTAGGAAAAATGGCTTGAAGACCTAAAACTCAAATGATTTGCATATAGCAATAATATACACAGAATGGCATTTGAATATGGAAGGACCAATAAAATTCTAACAAGCAAAGATTGAGGTAGAGGACACAGGAAAAACACTGATGTAGCCATTTATCTTTAACTATCTTTGTGTATATTCTACAAATGTTTATTTTCTTTCTTTTTCCATTATTTTTTTGGGGAGTGGGGGAATGGTTCTGGGATTCAAATCCAGGGCCTTGTAATTGCTAAGCATATACTCTACCACTGAGATACACCCCAGGGCCCCAAATATTTCTTTTTTTTATTAATTTTTTTTAGTTGTAGACAGACACAATACCTTTATTTTATTTATTTGTTTTTATGAGGTACTAAGGATTGAACCCAGCGCTTCACACATGCTAGGCAAACACTCTACCAACTAAGCTATAACCCCAGCCCCCAAATATTTATTAATAACATAAATTAGATCTTTTGTATGGCTGGAGTAATTCAAATATTTATGCATATTAGATTAAGATTACAGTATAGGGTGCAGTGGCATACACCTGTAATCACAGTGGCTCAAGAGGCTGAAGCAGGAGGATCTGAGTTTAAAGCCAGCTCCAGAAATTTAGTGAGGCCCTCAGCAACTTGGTGAGACCTTATGTCAAAATAAGAAAATAAAATGGGCTGGGGATGTGGCTCCATGGTTGAGTGCCCTTGGGTTTAATTCCTGGTACCAAAAAAAAAAAAAGTGTAGTATGGAATGGAAGACTAGACATTATTAAGTGGAAAGTTTTAATAACTTTGCTTAAATTATTAGATAAACAAACATACTGACTTCTGGACTAGAAATTTCCAGCAAAAGGTCTTAGGGAGTGTTTTAAGGTCTCCAATCATATACCTATCTAATAAGGGTGAGGAGACTAATGACAGTCTCACCAACCAAGTGATAAGAAAATGATTTTGGACAAAAGACTCTTGTCTCAGTCAAGAACAAACCTCTAATTGTTCAGAGACTAGTTGTGACAAATTAGTCTGCAGTTATTGATGACAATCAATCTCAGAGAATTTTTCTTTTTGGTATCTCTTATAAAATGTCTATGACACCACTATACCGGGTTTACATACTTTATTTTTACTGCACTTTAAAATCTATAGAAAAATTGGCTAGATAGTACAGAATATTACTTCTTTAAATATTTCAAGTTTCCTATCCTAGAATCTTTCTATAGGCTGTTCTCCTTCCTAAATTGATTCATAAAAATCCGAATTTAAAGCTGGATGTGGTTGGCACACACCTGTTACCCCAGCTATTTGAGAGGCTTAAGGCAGGAGGATCACAAATTTGAGGCTTGCTTGGGCAACTCAGTGAGACTTTGTCTCAAAATAAAATAATACACAATAAACGGCTAGGGGTATAGCTCAGTGGGAAAGTACCTAGCAAGTGAAAATCCCTAGTACTAAAAGAAAATAAAATTTTGCAAAAAAATTAAATTCTCCAAAAAATAAAATTTTACAACTTTTTTTCAATTTTACATTTATTTACATAATTATTTAATGACTTGTCTCTTCACCTGAGTACAAATCCATAAGGGCTGAATCTAATTTATTGTTTCTGAGCTCAACTTAGACATATTCTTTTGTAGTATTTTCCATGAACTCCAATCCAAATTAATCTTCCTATCACATTCTTTCACATACCCTTCACTTTCCTTTATTATAAATTATTGTAATTTATAATGATATGTCTGTTTGTATGATTATTTTATGTTGGTGTCCTCTGTTAAACAGTAAGCTCCAAGAGGGCAGGGAGGATATCCTATTTTGCTCACCAGTGTAATCCTTACCCACAAGAGGATATAACACATGAAAGATATTGAGTAAATATTTGTTAAATGTTGAAATAATTCTTAGAGGAGCATAGTAACTGGAGAAAATCAAAATATAAAAAAGGCTGGGAATATGGCTCAGTAGTTAAGACCCCTGGGTTCAATCCCTCATACCACACACACACACACAAAAAAAAAAAAAAACGAATACAATTACAATTTGTCAACTTGGGCCAAGGTAATCTAGAGTTGTCATGGCAGTGGGTATTGGAAAGTCTGATGTCAGTCAAAATCAAGAGGTAGACCTGAGTGGGACTCACTGGAAACTTCTCTGTGCAGGAGAGGCACATGGTCCCTCTCCTCTCTGACAGGATCCACTATCTCCCTTGAGAGTGTCCCCTTTCTCTTTTCCTATCCCTTCACAATAAACTCATGCCTGTTACTCTGAGTGACATGTCTCAAATATTTCTAACTTGATCGCAAGAACTGGTGCTTTACAGGAGGAGCCTTCACACTGCTTCAGTTTTCCAACTCCATGACACTACTACATGAAGCCTTCCTATTTTATTAACATGTATTAATTGTACATATTAATGGGATTCACCATGATACTTCCATACATGCATACAGCATTTAATGATCATATCTAAGCACCCTTCTTCCTTCTTTACCTCCCTCCCCAACACCTTTCGCAGTCTCTAATAATCACTATTCACTTTAAACAACTTAGTTCATAGCAGGTTTCTCCTCTTGTAATTTCTATCATTTGTCTTGGTAGCTCATTCTATTTACTACTTCAGTAGGCAAACTCAAAGCAGATTTTTCTGAACTTCTCCCAAACACATATACATATACAATGGATTTTTTCTATCAAAAACTTTATATCAATCAAACTTGTTGTATAAGATTACTTTGTTATCTCTGATGACTATTTTATACACACACATATTTACTGGATAAATACAATAGTTAATTATGGTGCTAAGCTCCTTATAATGCATCATATAATTTATTCTTTTATCCTAAATTTGTTCATCATAGCCTTATGAATTCTATCCTATGAGCATTTCTTAATTCCATCCTTACTTCTTCAACCCTATTTTTTTTTCCCCTTCTTTTTGGTGCTGGGGATCGAACCCAGGTCCTGGAGTATAATGAGCATTCACTCTACTTCTGAGCTACATCACCAACCCCAAACCCACTGTTAGGCCCTATTGTTAGACCTTATTTTCTCCCTGCTAGACTACTGCAACAGAATCTTAACTGGCCTCCCTACCTACAACATTTTCTTTCTTTTTAAATCTTTATTTATTTATTTTTAAGCAGCAAAGAGGTGTTTATTGTGAGCTAGCTCGGTCCTCCGCGCACACACAGCAATTTGTGACACTGAGAGGCTAATCTTTATTTTTATTTGTTTATTTTTATGTGGTGCTGGGGATCAAACCCAGGGTCTCACATCAAGGCAAGCACTCTACCACTGACCTACAACCCCAGCCCCAGTACTCTTTTTTCAATCCCTTTCCTTTGTTCCTGAGTGATGTTTTTAAAAACAAATCCGACAATACTCTCCAGGTCTTAGCTTCTGGTGGTTCCAAACCGCTTTACAATCTGCTCCAGTTTATCTTTATACACATTCACCTAGTTCCCCAACATGTCCTGGGCATGCTTTTCCCTTTTCTAGAAATATCCTGTTTTTCTTTGTCCCATGAATGCCTCCATGTCTTTTAAGATCCAACATAGAAGTCATTTCCTGCCTATAACATTCCCACAGTTCTAAGCAGGATTGTAAATTAGAATTTTTAAGATGGACAGTACTCCTATAAATCAGGATATTTAAGACACAAAGATTAAGAAAGATACAAGGTGGAGATAAAAGATTTTAATACTTACACGTTCTGGGGAATACACCACAGGCTTGGAGACCACATACACCATGGTCAGGAAATATAAAGGGAGAGAGGGTGCCGTCTGTGGATTAATACCATTTGTGGTGCTAAGGTATCCAAACAGATTTCCTGTGGAGAGTTTTAATTGGTGAGTTTAAAGCAAGAAGACATCAGTTTCAGGTTACACGTGACCAAAAAATGGTCACTATGCCATATCTGCTCAAGGCATACTGGGTGTGAAGGTGAGCAAGGCCTGACAAGTGGGCTACCTCCAATTGTCCCCTTGGGAGGCAGACAGCAGAAGACAGAGATATTTGCATCGACCACACTGAGAACTAAGAGGAGGTGTAGAAATGGAAAGTGTCACAAGTGACTGACCTCTGCTTCTGGGACCAGAAAACGACATTCACGTTCAACATGGATGCCCAGATAACATAAAATGATGAGACCTCACTACACTTTCTCACTGTGCTTTCTCAATATGATAGTCTTACTTCGTGCCAAGGACCAGGTACTGGTTATATTATGATTCCTCAGCACACAACCCTGTCTCTTCATCTCTGCGCTGAATTCCACGGGCAAAACCGGAACCCGGCATAACTGCAGTGAGAAAGTAGGTGGACTGCAAAATTTTTCAACCTGGAACCCAGGACATAGATGGAGAGATATTTGTCAAACAGTAAAGCCTGTTTGACAGGACTCCAGCGCCTGCCAGCCCGGCTCAACCCGGCTCAACCCGGCCTGGGTGGCCAGCAGCGCGTCGGCCCAGATCAACAAACGGCTGTCTGACCGCCTGGCCCGCCAACAGGAGACGGTAGCGGGTCCTAACCGACTTCCTGACGGACCTAAGATAGCAAGATATGATGGCTGGCCTTGTCTTCGAAGGGAAGTTAGGACCGCAAAGAAATTGCGGAAACTTCGTCACGCACGCGCTTCGCGCCTCTGCCTACGCGAAGAGTCGACCCGCGGTGGGCCTCGCAGAGTGCGCGTGCGCGGCGGTCCCAATTTTCCCGCACCTTCTCTCACGTGACTTCACTTTCCAGGGGCCGGCGCAAGTTTCGCCGAGTGCGCGTGCGCGGCGGTCCCCCCCTTTTTTTTTTTTTGCTTTTCCTTCCACACAACACGTATCCTCACTAGACTTCGCCCCTCGGACGACCCCTTCCTCTCGCCGTAGGCCGGCGTGACCCGCCCCGAGTGTCCTCTTGCGCGCGCTCGGGCCAGCCCTCCAAGTCACGTGGCTTCTGTAGTTTTCCCCACCCAGCTCTTCAACCTCTGACTCTCACAATCCGGCGTTATGGCTGCCGCCGTGCCTTGTGCCGCTTCTCTCTCCCCGCTTCTTCCCTTTCTCCTGAGCCTCCTGCTCCTCTCCACTCCGCACGGCACCAGCGGCCTGCACACTAAAGGCGCCCTTCCCCTGGATACAATCACTTTCTACAAGGTAACGGGGTCTGGGGATTTTGCGCACAGGTGCAGCCAGAGTGCCCAGGGGAGCGCGAGCCGGTGGGGAACGTTGAGCACCGAAGGCTGGCGGAAAGCGGTCTTGTAGCAACGATCCGAGGGCTTCCTACCATGCTATGGCCTGGTGGAGTCTTGGACGGGCTTACCATGACCACGGGCACACACGCCCCGGGGTCCCGGCTCACCCTTGCCTTTGCATCATTTATTTATATTTGTTTCTGCTTTTGTAAAAGAGCTGCAAAGATGCAGCCAAGGTAACGAGATGCTCCTTTAGGGAGAGAGGACAGTGCCAGGGGAGATCCAGTCCTCGAATCCTAAGTAGGAGATGAGGGCGGGGCGAAGTCGGTGCTACCTGGTTTCCAACTGGGGGTGGGGGTGGTAGGAAGAACTCGGCACGTTAGTATGCGTATCTGTGCCCCTCCTGAGTATGAATTGTTGGCTTGTCAATATGCAAAGTATGTTCAGATATTACGCCTCTCCCAGAAAAGTGCTGACGTTAAGAATAAGCTACACGCTGGAATTGTAGCTCAGTGGGAGAACGCTTGCCTAGTACGTTTGAGGTACTAAGTTCGATCTTCAGCACCACATAAAAATAAATGAAGGCATTGTGTCCATCTACAACGAAAACATAAATAAATAAAAGCGAATACGCTACAGTTTAGCCAAACTATAGGAAATATCTCTGGAAGAAAAATGAATAAAATCGGGTCAAAGCATGGAAGAATTTGCCACTACCCCTCCCTGCCACCCTTTACAAAATGTGGGAATCCTGGCCTAGGTAAACGGACCCTGGAAACATTGAAGGCATAGTGCAACACCACAGTCCCACTCTTCTTCTCCTGTACCTGTCTTTTAACTTCTATGGCAAGCTAAATGTTGAGAGAGAGGCAGTCGTCTTATTTTCTTATTTTGTACCCTTGCAGGGAAGTGAAACCAAGAAATGGAACTCTAAATGTGTCTGTATCAAGTGGTTGAACTTGTCTGTTTTTTTTTTTTTTTCCTTCTTCTTTTGTAGTTATGGATGGACAACATGTTTTTGTTTATTTATTTTTTTGGTGCTAAGGATCCAACCCAGTGCCCAACAGGTGCCAAGCAACCAGGGGCTCCACCATTGAGCTAAGCCTCAGCCCCTTCTGTTTTCAAAAGGGTTGAGAGGATCTAGAGTGGACTTCACACTTGTAGCTCATTGAAGGCAAAGGTCCAAGAATTTAAAAGCATTGGTATGGCTGGTTGGTTGGTTGGTTGTGGGCACCCCACAGCACCTATGCTCTTTGGTCCTTTACTGGCAAAGTGATGCACCTACCTCTTCCCAATACATGGAAGTTGGGTTACATCACAGATCTAGTGTGACTCAGAGCAGCTTTGTACCTTAAGGTTAATAATATCTCCTTATAAATGAGTGCTGTGCCACCTTTACCATTGCCACCCTGGTCTAGGCTGTTCTTGGGTACACTTCCTCCTGTCCTCCATGCTTCCACATTGAGACATCACACTAGGAGATCTGTTCTTGCTTCCCTTTCCTATTTCCTAACAATTTTCCCTAGTCCTCTGTGCTCCAACCGTACAGGCCTGCCTTCTATCCCTTGAATATTCCTAGCTCATCACTGCTTTCATGTATTTGAGGTTTCCCTGTGAGTGGAGTAGTTTTTGCCCAATCTTTGAAAGACATGCTCCTTATTGTTTAGGCTTAAATGTTACCTCCTCAGAACCCTTCCTTGATTTCTCCCACCCCCAGGCTTAAGTACCAGTCATATTCCCCTGTTATTGTTTTTCTGAAGTGCATTCATTGCTGATTTTGTTCCTTGTCAGTTTTACCATCTGTCTCTCACATCATATTCTTTATTTCCAATTATCTGCATAGCATAGCAGGTTATATATTACATAGAAGGTGCTTAATAAATAATTGATTGCATGAATAAATGTTTTCTCCAGTCTTTTTCCAACTCTCACCCTCTTCCATCACCGCTGGATACAATGGGAATTTCTTAGTGTTTTTTTTCCAGCAACCTTGTTCAACATGCTATGCTTTTTAATGATTTCTAACATTTTTGTTCCTTTCTCTTCGCCATCACTAGAATGTTAACTTCATTTGATAAAGACCCACTCCGTTTTGTTCTTTGTAGTGTTCACTTAGAACAGTGCGTAGTTCATGATGGGCCCTTAGCAACTTTTAATTCAATGAACAAATGAATGAATAAAGAATTTATCTCTAATTTGAAGAAGGAAGTTGTCTGATTATGGGTACAGTAGAACTGATCCCCAGAGTTCTAAAGTAATTAACAGATACAGACTGCATAAAATAACAAACAATTCTTTATGCAAATATTTGCCATTCAAAACCATTCCAACTTACCTAGTAGCCAAGAATGGTGAAAATAAAAGTCCTGAATTCTGTTTCAATATTAAACCACTATATAATTATTAATGTATTACATAATACAAGTGTAAGTCCCTTGAAGATAGGGATTGTATATCATGCTTTTAACCCCTCCACCCCCCACCCCCATACCCCGGCCTTGAACATGTAGCATCTGCTATTAAAGTTCTGTTCATTTAACATGTTTTAAAAGCATTTGCTGCATGCAGGTATGTGGGATCTTAGGGTCAGGCAAGGTCCTTATTTTAATATACAGTCTACCGGAGAGAACAGAAAACAAGCAAAGAACGATTTTAGAGAATAGTCAATGTATGAAGAAATGCATCAGAGTATCGTAGGAATGAAGCAATCTTAGATGGTTGAGGAGTCCTCTTCATTATTAATGAAGGGACCTTTTGAATTGAACCTTCAATGTAAAGAGACAAGCTGAGCCAGGGAAAGGGTTCCAGCCAGGAAACAACAAATACAAAGGCTGCAAGAGGGGGCAAGTGTAGTGTGTTGAACTGAAACAGGGCCACTTGGACCGGAGGGATGTGATCTGATTTATATTTTAAATCTTCCTTGTCTTTAGGCCCTCAGAGCTCAGACTTTATGGCGTCAGTGGCCACTTAAAGATGACCTGTTCTGGTGGTTTCTCCTCCTTTATGTCCCTAGGCACTGTTAAATATTCTTAAAAACCTAAAGTCGAGTAGACATCAGTACACAGTAAGGGACACACACAAGCAAAAACATTTGAGTTCTCTGATGCATCTGAAATTTTGTGAACTTGATAGAATTATGAACAGTGATTTCCTGTGATGAAAATCTTGAGAATAGAGATCACTGAATTAGAAAAGCAAAGGGGTGTGAGACGAGGGGAAGGCAACATTACTGACCAAAGTCAGCTTATTTATTTGTACATTGGAAGAAACCATCAAAAGGAAGCCCTTGGCTTAACTATATGACCCCTTCAGTTCCACTTCTAGGTGAATCCAAAAGAATTTAATAATGGGTGTTCAAACAAAAACATATGCACATCTTCAGACTATTCACAGTAATAGCCAAAAGGTAGAAACAACCCAAACATCTTTCAAAGAATAGTTTGTTTGGCCAGAAATATGAATAAAGCACTGATCACATGCTACCACATGGAAAACCATAAGAACATTATGCTAAGGCAAGTAAGCCAGACATAAGAGACTATGAATTTTATTATTCCATCATATTAGACAAATCCAAGGAGACAGCTGGG